CCCGTGTCTCGGCAAGTTTCCCATCGAGAATCTCACGGGCCTGAATAGCCACAATCTACTCCAAAGGGGGGCCAACCTCCCCCCTGAAAACTATGGCCGAGTCACGGGCCACCTTGGCAAGGCGGCCAAGTGGAACGGCTTCGAGAGCAGAGAAATAGCAACTAGAAGAACTAGAAGGAATGTCGGTCGCACCTGTCTCGAGGTTCTAGGCTGCAGCCCGGATCTCAGCCCGCTCGGAGATGGACGGCGCCGGGAGGGCGGCTGGGCGGTCCGCGTCGAGCCGGGCGCTGCGGCGGGAGGGCGTCACCGGGGTCGACGAGGCCCGAGCCCGGCGGACGTAGGACACCGAACGAGGCGGGTGAGGGGCGACAGGGGTGACCACCTCCCCGGAGGTCACCAGCAGCTAGGCCTGGGCGTTCGGTTACACTGAACTGATCGGTTCGGTTTCTCGGGCTATTAAGGAATTCGGTTTCGTGCTAATGCTGACCGATCGGTGTTCTGGAAAATATCTAACCGAGAGTTCGGTCAACCGATGAATTCGGTTCGGTCTCGGTCTTAACCGAAGTTACCGATAATCTACAGCTCGCACCCTCTATCCAGATCGAAACCGTTGACTCGCGTACAGCCAGAGGAAAGCAGAAGAGGCGACTAGCGCTAAGGAGGGAGAGAGATGAGATGGCGTCGCCACGTCGACCGCCGGGATAGAGAGAGGGTGAGGGAGGAGATGCCGCCACCCGCTGGAATGGAAAGATAGAGAGGAGATGGCGTGGTCGGCCGTGATAGAGGGAGGGGCGACATGGAATCTGGCGCCGGCGGCAGATCCACCATCGCTGGCTGCTGGGGCGGCTAGGTTGCTCCGGATTGGGGATTTCCTGATATGTGGTCGATGCATGTGAGCTGAGGCAGAGAGCCACGGGATTATCAAACGTGGGCCTAGTCAGGCATTGCGTTGGGCCTTCTACATTTTTTGGCCCATATCACGTTTATTCGGTCTGTTCGGTGTTTTCGGTTACGTGATGCCTAAAACCGAGTTGACCGACATAAATTCGGTTATGCAGAAGTCATCACCGAAGTTGTGACCGAAATAATCGGTTCCGATCTATCCGGTTTCGGTCCCGGTCCTTTCGGTTCGGTAGTTCGGTCAACGGTTAATATGCCCACCCCTACCAGCAGCAGACGAGTCGGGGAAGCAGACGCCGGGGGGATCAGACAGGCACTAGACACCGCCTGACGGGAGGGTGGGTCCAGGGCCGGTGGATCCAGGGCCGGCGCGTCGACCACTGGGGCCGGGGAGGTGGCCGGGGGGAGGCGGGTGGCGGCGGCGCATCCGCCCCAGATGGGTCCAACAGGGGGGACCCGAGGGGGGGAGTCACTGATGACGGCGAGGTCGGAGGCAACAGAGATGCCGAGGTCGGAGACGGGGGGTCCGTGGCCACCACAGGAAGAGCACACGGCGAGCGCGGCGAAGATGCCGGGAGGACGAGGAGGCTGACGCTGGAGATGTCGCTGAGCTCGGCCGAGGAGGAGGGAGAGGGGGCAGGCTTCGTGGGGGTGGCGGCCTCGGAGGGGAGGGCCAACCCACGCGACCGGCCCGCACCCGAGCCCCCCCGCCCCGGGGGAGGAGAGGGGTCCCGAGAGGGGGAGCGACTGCGGCTGGAGTGCTCTTCGTCGTCCTCCGGGTCCTCGTGGCGGGAGGGGCGCGGCCGGCGGTAGTGGGAATCGTCGCGGGAGTCCGCGCCACCCCCACCGAAGTGATCCGCAACGAAGTGACGAGGACGGCCGACGTGGTTGGGGGGCTCGGGGTAGATCTTGAGGTCGAATCCCTGGTCGTTGAAGAACACTCGAACTGTGGCACAGAGGGTGGAGGAGTCCAGACACTTGACCTTGACACGGACCTCCTCCTCCTTGCGGAGAGAGAGCTCGTCCACCACCACCACCTTGCCCAGGAGCTTAGGCATGCTTCGGATCACCCTCTCAGAGCGGGCGATGTCGGGGAGGCCCGCTATGAGAATCCAAGCGGTGTCCAGCACGGCAACCGCCTTGGGATCCAACAGGGGCTCAGAGATGTTGACGATGAGCTTGTTGAGGGCGAGGGTGATGTCGTCGCTACGGGTGCAGAGGCCCAGGCTGAGAGCGTCGGGGAAGACCAAGGTGAAAGAGCTGTCCGAGGTCGGGGTCACCTGCCAGTCCCAGACACGACGGCAGGGGTGGTTAAGCTCCGCCTCGATCATCTCAGGCGAGGCGACCCCGGCCCCCATGATGGACACGACAGCAAGGAGCGAAGGGGACGGAGGGGGACGTCTTCCATCTCGATGTGGAAGAATCCGAGGCCCTCGATGCCGTGGCCGTACATCATGAGCTCCTCAGTCATCGGACGGTCGGGGCAGAGGACCGCGGGATGGCCCGGTTCCTTGCAAAGGTAGCACGTCGGCGGGTTGGGGCAGTCAACCTGGAAGTGGCTAGCCTCACCGTAGTTGAAGCACGGAGGAAGGTCACGGGGGGCACCAGAGATGGGCGCGCCCGAATACGCGGGGGCCAGAGCCGCGGTAGCGGGGGTGCGGGCAGCACCCCGCTTCTTCTTCTTCTTGGCGCCTTGGCGGCCACGGGCCCCGGGGCCCCCGTTGCCCGGAGGATGGCTCGGCTGGGTCCGAGGAGGCTGGTATCGGCGGGTGGCCGCAGTGTCAGAGGGCTCGGCCCGAGGAGGGGCGACGCGGGGCGCTCATGGCGACGTGCGGGCGAAGGTGAGCGGGCCTGGTCGCGACGGCTGTCCCGGGGGGGAGGGGGGAGAGCCGGCGGTTGGTCCGCGCCGGGGAGCGGCTCGTGGTGCGTCCGGGCGAGAGACAGTCGTGGCGGGGCGGTGAGTGTCGGATGCTGCGGGGCGGCGAGCGATGGGACTCGCGGGGAGGCGACCGGCGGGCCTCCCGGGAGGGGGACCGGCGAGGATCCTGCGGCGGGGACCGGAGCGAGTCGCGCGCAGGAGCCCGGCGCCCATCATTGCCGTCGCGGCTGGCCAGCTGACAGTGGAGGTCGGCCTCGCGCCGCTGGCCGTCCGGCGAGGCGCGGC